TCAAAAACCTGGAAAAAGAAGGCATTTTTTTAGCCTCAGTGAGTAAACTTACAAAGGTTTAGATCAGTTAAAAGAGTTAATGTTGTAGAGTCGTTCAATAAAAGTACTGTTTGGCCTGTTTTCTGGAATTTATTTATTTACTTGGCTGTACCTTTGTGCAATAGGCTCCTCCACAGCACCACGTTCTGTGATGAAGTCAAAGAGGTCTTGGCAAGGCTGGGGTCTCTCAAACACGATGAGGAATCCCTGACCTGGCACCTCAAACCAATCCAGCATCCGGATGATGCCACGGTGAGAGGGCCCAGCTCCTGACCCGCTTCCCAGCTGCACCAGGAGTGCGATCTCCATGGGAACCAGGCTTGGTTCATCAGGCTGTGAAAGACAATGGGGAGAGAGAACGATGAGATGAAGAGGTCTGGTCACTGATTATGGCAAAATTACTTCTAATTTCTTAAAAATGGAAAAAGCAATAAGAGCTGTTCTTCAGGATTTTAGTCTCACAGTGGACTGGAATAGGAGGCTGGAATAGGAGGCTAATCAGTTTTGTCCAAGGGTAAAATTCAGGTTTAAATACCATCTTACAGAAGGGAAAATAATACAGAAATACCCGGTGGTACGTCATTTATTGTTTGTGACACGTCATTTTTGGCACAAAACCCACAGTAGGGGAAATACTTTTGGTTCTTCCTCATGGGTTATTTTGAAAAACCCATCGACGTCATTACCACTGCGTCACTAGTTGTATGTGATGGATACACGAACTACCACTAGAGGGCGCAGTATCATCAATTATTATCAACTGCCTGACGTACTTGTAACTAGTTGTTTTAATGCTATTAGCTAAATATTATTAGTTGTTTTAATGTTGTTAGCTAAAAATGTAAATTTGCTAAATCACTTTAAAGCTATTGGTTAAAAAAGAGAGAATAAAAGTGCAAAAGTGTTTACACTCACCAGTCGTGCCCACTGTTGCACTCTGTCGTGGGATACTTGTTTGATGGCAACCTGAAACAAATTAAAGGGGGAATTAAATTAGCGGGCGTTGCAACACAGATAACGGACCTGAATACTTCAACGTTTGGATCTTCATTGCTGCATTGACTGCATTTAAGTTACCTGTAAGCCATCTGAGATCCTCTGGCCGGCGAATACTGAGCCGAAACCGCCGCTTCCCAGGAGCGCTCCACATTTGTACTGCTTATCAAAGGGCTCTTTCGCTGGAACTGTGGAGGAAAGGGGAAGTTACACAAGGCTGCCAAACGATAGCAAATATAAAAACACAAACACAGACCAGGTATTTACACACTAAGCTGCCCGACTGTGATCCTAATGCTGGTAAACGTATACCGTTTTTTGTTGAGTGTATTTCACCGGTTTGGCGACTGATTAAGCTACATTTACTGTAACTTGAGCTTGAAAGCGAAGCTAAGTCATCTTACTAATCCAATTTTCCCGTTCCACCTTAAAAGGTGCAGCAGTTACATTCTGGCGCCTGAGGCTTAAGGTGGAACGGGAAACTTGGAACAAAAAGCTGCCGAATAGGAACCCAACTTTAGCCTGGTAGCTTGAAAAGGAGTCCTGTAATTCAGCAGACGTAACCTAGCTAACGTTATAAAACAACGTAACTTAAGCGTTAAACTAGCTGGCTAAACTCAAAACCTCCTCTTACCGGTCTTCCCTCTCACGTCGTCCGTTTCGTCCAAGCGCAAGTCAACCATACGTTTGTCCAACATTTTCACGAAGTTAGAAAAAAATCTGAAATATCCACAAAACGTCGAATAAACTCAGGCGGTTAAACGGGTATCTCCGTTACGAATGCCCTCAGCACAGCATATCCATGTTTCGACGATTCGTACGTTGATCTCCGTTCAAAACACCGCGGTCGCCGCTCTCTCCACTCTGACAAGCAAGCAGCAGACAGACTACTATGCCCCTCTTCAACTTTGTTGACGTTTTAAAGTTTACATTTGTGACCCCACCCACAACCCCGCCTCCGTCCAACCACGTCTGGCTTGCTGCTAGTGTTTTGAAATGAGCAGCCAATCACGCCCCGGAATCTTTCAAACTGCATGAATATTAATGAGTCAGCGGTCAAACATTCTTAGAATTGAACCGCTCCAGCAACGTTCCAGTAAAAGTCGCGCGCTCTGGCAGAAATATGCACTGTCGCTATGGCAATTTTGCCCGCGAAAAAACGTACGTTAGTGAAAAAAAACTACAGACGCGAATTGCTAAGTTTGCTAAAGGCGCCGTTATTAGATTCCCTGGAACAAAAAGCCTTTTTTTGGCAGTTAAAGCCTTACTGAGGAACTCCTATACTCTGAGATATTAACTGAAATTAAAAAACAAACAAACTGAAACTGAAAAGTGACTCTTGAAAAACAGGGACGGTCCATGATCCATAAATCAAGACTTCCCTCTTGGTTTCACTCTTAGGTTTTAGGAAAAGGAAACTTAGCTAAAACAACAGTCAGCACAGCTTACAGGACGAAATAAACTAGCTGTAATGCGTTATGCAGGCAGACTCTTAAAAAAGACGGGTCTTTAGTAAAGGGAAGTCTGTTTAGAACCATGAATTCTATATAGAACCACTTCGTGCTTAAATGGTTCCTTGCATGGTGAAATGGTTCTTCAGATTGATAGAGAATGTGCTGTATATGACTCTGTATAGCACCAAAAAGGGTTCTTCTACTGTTACAAACTTGATATTATAATAGCAGAACCCCATTTTCAAAAAGGTTCTATATAGAACAGCATACAACACTTTCCCTCAATCTGAAGAACCATTAAAGCATGAAATTGTTCTATATAGAACTCATTATGCTAAATAGAACCACTCCTTTTACTAAAGAACCTTTTAAGAACCATCTTTTTAAAGAGTGCAATGCAACTCATCTTCACTCTTTTAAGTCTGCCTCAGGATCTTCTGCAGAAAGCCTGCAACTGCAATTATGCAAATTGTCTGTTAAATAAAAACACAGAATAGTTTGGAAATTTCTGTCTAATACTGACTAGGTTGAACCCTTTGACCTCAGATGATTTGAAGAAGACTGCTGGATTGTGGTTCTTTCAGGTACAGGAAGAGGTTCCACAGCCACACTTACTGCATTGCTGTTTCTAGACCAGCTCAGTTTCCTACACCCTAGTGATGGTCCTCAGCATTGATGTGCTTTAAAGGGGAATTACATGCATTTTTCAAAATTTGAGCATTATAAAGTTGTTAAGATGTAAACAAAGTAATTAAGAATGGTTTGGTGTGAAATGCACCGTTCTAGAGAAACTGAGTCAGAATTGTTCATAGTGGTGGTGATAGGAACCAGACGTCTGAAGAGTTCAGTGTCTCTGAAAGCTTCCTCACAGGAAGTTAGTACATAAAGTAGTTACGCATCTAACACCTAGACAGTTTTATGATATATTTCAGATAAGATTTTGTCTAATCTATTCAGAGGTGCCAAACAGTAAAATAGTGCTAATAGAAAAGTTTTTTTTCCTTATTCACCACTATTTTTGTCATTATCGACACTACACGACAGTACAAAACTCAGACGACATCTAAATTAATTTTGCATAGTGAATAAAAAGGCTATATTTGCGCGGTAGACATCGTAACCATTGTGACTCCTGGTTCCTATCACCACCATTGTAAAGAAATCAAAGTTGCTAAGTTTGCCTACAGTGCAGCATTTCGCATCAAACCACTTTGAATGACTGGTCACATATCTGTTATTTAATTATTCAGACATTCTGAAAAATTTTGGTGGAATTCCCCTTTAATGTAGCACCATGAAGTTTATCTGGTCCAAATTTATTTAACTTGTTTTGGTTTTTTTTTATTCCATTAAACCTGTGGAGAACGAGGTAAAAGCTTACATTAGCAGTCAGAAAACCATGTTATACCCAATGCATTAAACACCACTTCTGCAAATGCTAAAGCTGTGAAAAAAGTTCATGCGCTGTCAAAAGCGCAAACAGTATAAATGTACCCTCAAAGGTACAACAATGGTCTTAAGGTCCAGTTGTTTACCCTGAAGGGGAATTCCAGAGATTTTTCAAAATTTCTGCATAATTCGACTGTTGAGATGTAAACAAAGTCATTCAGAATGTTTTGATGTGAAGTTGTTAACTGGTTCAGACTTTACAGTGGTGGTCATGGGAACCAGGGGTCACAATGTCTATAACTAAAATATAACCATTTTATTTACTATTCAAAATGACCAGCGAACCTACACTTCCAAAACAATAACTTTTCAGAAGAAGGAAAAAACAGTCTTATAATTGAAAAGATATATTTCCAAGTGGTCCATCCTGAACTTTTCACATAATGTATAGGGCAGTTGGTGCTTTCAACTTATATAAGAATACAATCTTTGTCCTGACTGAGATGATATGCAGTGTTGATAACAGTAAAATAGTGGTCAATCTGAAAAAAAGTTTTATTTGGGGCCTATTTTGCCTTAAAACACCCTGCATGTACATCTCCACCATGAACAGATTTTTAAAAGCATGTTTTTGGACAAAATCTAATGGCGAAACAATCGCAAAACAATGTCTCAGGCATCAGACTTCGTGTAATAGCTTTGTGTGAGGGAGCTTTTAGAGGCATTCAACTGTTCGGACATCTGGGGAGCAATTCGATAAACCTCTCTAGAACAACTCTGTCTCTCTGAATGACTTTGTCTACATCTTAATTCATTTTTACAGATATAAAATAAACAGTGGAAATGAGCTTTAAAAGGTGTATTTGTACCTTTTTATAACTTAAGTCTTACTATTTTTGAGAAAAATACAATAGAAAGGCTGGAGTAGGACAGGTTATATGAAGTCAGTGCAGCTTGAAAAAAATTTCAACAGAACATAGTACAATCATGTTCCCTTGAGGGGTATCACTCTAGTGACAGTTTTTCTGAGAGTGTGGACCATGACAAAACTTCACACTCCACTAGAGCTTCTGATATTCTGGAATATCACAAAACAAGTAAACAACACTTAGATAAGACGTATTTCTTCAGAAACTTCTCCTTTTTTATTCCAAGAAAAAAGAGCATTTTTTTTCATCCCAAACAAGAAAATAAAATACAACAAGCTTATATTAATCAGTTATTAAGATGATACAGTATGACATTTTTATAACTTTTTTTTTTTTTGTTTTCCCATCTTTTTTTTCTATGATATCAGTTATGTTGATTTAAACATGCACCTAAAGAAGTCCAACGTTGGCATCAGTGGCAATACAAAGCGATGTAGTGGCGAGGGAAGTCTTACAGTGACGGGTCATTATTACTGATAGATGACGGGGGACAGTGATGAAAACATGAAGGGGTGCTGGGAGAGAGTGAAAGGGTAGATGTGGTTTTCATGATGATGGAGAGAACAAGATTTGATTGATCCCCAGTTTTCTGCCTCCTCCTGGCGAAGAGGGCTGCATTGCGTGCCTTCGTGCCTTTATCAACTGCTGTCTGGAGAGGGTTCCCTATGCATGGCATTTTTCTTCATGCTGTCGAGGTACTCCTGTTGCGATACGGCCAAAACCGAGGCCAAAATCTCATCGTCCTCCCAATCGGTCAGACCTTGAACGAATAAAACAAAGGACTCCTATGATTTACATGCAAAAGTACTGTGCCATGCTCTCGTCGACATGAAGTTGACAAGTCTTGCGGTTTTGACGACCAGCTTACAGCTCAGACATTATTAGAATTATCAGCTAGCCTCAGCTTCCTAGTGAGATTTAATGCTGAGTGGAAATAGAAAACAAGGTCATCTCAGACAAACGTGTTATCATTTACCATCAGCCGTCGTCAGTCAGTTTTTTTCCCTCCACACGCCCACCTGCCCTTAATAAAACTCACAGAATTAGTGGAAAAAAAGGAAGGAGAAAAAAAAAGAACAACTACTAGAGGGAGAAATGCATGAGCCTAATGAAACACTTCACCCATATATCGCTGCTGTCGTATCTCCATTTTTGTCGTTTTTCAGTTTCTGACATAATTTGAAAATGCCTGTTGTGCTTTAAATTGCATGTAAATTTCATGATGAATGAACCACAATAAATGGCCCAAAAGTCTAGTTCCATTTACTTACATTATAAGTAAAGTAGGTTTTTTCCTTCTTCTGTTGAAGAAGTTACCATTTTGGAGATATGAGATTTTATTCCAACAACAGCAATATGCTTATATCCCTAATAACCAATGAGAGCTATTAGGTCCTATCAGCATTAAGCATTACAGAAATTAAATTGTAGTAACTGGTTCCCATTGTTTTAATGCAAATAAAGTATTTCTTTAACGTTTAAATTGTTTTAAACAGGCAAATCAGCTATGTGCATTTTTTTGCTGATTTGTATTTGCCAAAGATATTTATTTCTTTATTTATTTATATATGAAAACAGGCACCAAATGCAATAATACTAGCCAGGTTTCCATCCAGCTGTTGAATGAAATTAGAGCGAACAACTGAAAAGTTGTGCAAAGACAAAATGCTTCTTTTCATCAGGCTATATCCAAGAGATTCAAACACTCTACGGTCATATCTGTGAAAACACGTCCGAGAAATATAAACTGAGTTTACAGAGAAATCTTGTCTGTTGAGCAGCTTCTCGTTCCTGCTTTGTTTAACTGTATGGCTGCATTTTTTGTATTTTCTATTGCAAGAGCATAAAGACAGGACACAAGGATACGGGCTTGAGAAATCCATTTAACAGCACAGGCATGTTCTGTCTGCCTTCTGTTCAATATCACCATTACCTTTTTTTTTGTTTGATAAGATACAGGTATATTTCCTTTTCCTCACGAGGTAACTGGTACCTGTTGCCTTCAGGTGCATTCATAGCTAACGCAGAACAAAATATGTGATCAGCCTTTATTTTGTTTGCATTTACATTAAATTGCAAACGCAATTTATCACATTTGTGTATCCATACAAATGTATCCATCTCAAGCAAGCAAACTTTTAATGCAAAGTTTGGTGACTGTATTCAACATTTACCATTTCCATTAAGTACTTTTTATTCAATATGCCAAAAAGTGCAGAAAAATACATGGATGGAAACCCAGCTAGTGTTTATGTGCTCTTTAAGCCAAAGCTCATGTTTTGGGGGCTAAAACACCACACTGATATAAAAAACAGGCTGGTGGTCAAGCACATTCATGGATCATCCGCACAGCATTCATATGCAACATATACTGTATGGACAAAAGCACTGGGACATCCCTCCTAATTATTGAGTTAAGGTGTTCCAGCCACACCCACTGCTAACAGATGGATAAAATTAAGCACATGGCCTTGCAATCTCGATAGACAAACACTAACAGTAGAATGGGTCGCACTGATGAGTTCAGTGACTTTAAACATGACACTGTCATAAGATGCCTCCTCTGCCACAAGTCAGTTTGTGAAATTTCTGTCCTGCTAGATCTGCCTCTGTCAACTGTAAGTGCTATTATTGTGAAATGGAAGCATCTAGGAGCACCAACAGTTTAGCCACGAAGTGGATGAATCACTCACTAAAGAGTTCCAAACTGCCTCTGGAAGTAACATCAGCAAAAGAACTGCGCCTTAGGAGCTTCACAAGGTTTCCATGGCCGAGCAGCTACACACAAGCCTAAGATCAAAATGCGCAATGCCAAGTGTCAAATGGAGTGGTATAAAGCATGCCACCACTGGAGCCTCTGGAGCAGTGGAAACGTATTCTGTGGAGTGATGAATCACACTTCTCTATCTGGCAGTCTGATGGATGAGTCTGGGTTTGACGAATACCAGGAGAACCTTACCTGCCTGACTACATTGTGCCAACTGTAAAGTTTGGTGGAGGAGGGATAATGCTAATGTTTTTCAGGAGCTGGCCTTGACCCTTTAGTTCCAGTCAAGGGAAATCTTAATGCTTCAGCATTCAGCAAAACATTTTGGACAATTGTACACTTCAAACTTTGTGGGAACAGTTTGGGGAAGAACCTTTTCTGTTCCAGCATGACTGAGCCCCAGTGCACAAAGCAAGGTCCATAAAGTCATGGCTGGATGAGTTTGGTGTGAAAGAACTTGACTGGCCCACTCAGAGCCCTGACCTCAACTTGGGATGAACGACAAGGGAGATGGTGAGCCAGGCCCTCTCGTCCAACATCAGTGTCTAACCTCACCAATGCTCTTCTGGATGAAGAGCTGTTATAGCTGCAAAGGGGGGGACCAACTTTATATTAATGCCTATGGATTTAGAGTGGGATGTCATAAAAGCTCCTGTAGGTGTAATGCGTAGGTGTCCCAATATTTTTGTCCATACAATGTATGTGTACTTGGCTGGGTCACATTTATTATATAATCATTCCACAGGCTGGCCAAAATCAGTTGATCACTGAACCGATTCTGTACCAATCAAGTTCTTGAATACCAGAGTTGTTCTAAGTGAGAAATTGGATCATAGGCATGTTTTTCTGTTATGCTTGATGAGTTGTTTTACCAAAAGCAGTTGGGGACATGTCCTGCATGATGGCCCGGTAACCCAGTGCTGGGTACAGAGACACGAGGGAGGATGAGGTGGGTCTGTCTGGTCCAACGCAGGCCTGGTTGCTGGGACCTGGTTAACGCAACAAGAATATCAGATATCACTGATGAAACACTTTTCTGTTTGTTTTAAGATTTAATGTTGAATGACTTTCTCTGATGCATTGGTAATGTAGGATGTTAATCTCCAGAATACATTATACATCAATGTTTTCAAAATCCCTGTACAGCTCATTTTTGTGCTTGAAAGGGTAAATTATTAGCCGATCATATAATTCAGGCAAGTTAAATCATTGGAAAATATGTTATGGAGTGCAAGGATAATTTCAGCACCAGCGCTGCTAAACATTTCTCTTTTACAAAACTGCGTTCAGATGAGAAATGTGATATAAGTACTGCAGTTTCCAAGTGTTCTGCACATAATGTACTGGAAATCCAAAGCACTGCACAATGTATTGTTTTCCTCGCTTAAAAACATCTGATTTAATGCAACATGAGCTGAATCAGTTGTAATTGGTACACTGAGAACACTAGACTGAAAGTGGCTCCCCAGAACCAGGTGTGAAGAACACAGTAATCCTTAAAAGCATCTCTGTAAGTATCAGAAGAGGATGGGTTGTTCATTTCAGTCTGTAAAAGTGAAACAAACAGCCAAAGCAATTAAGAACAAATGTCAGTGGGAATTTTTACTGCCATGTTGTTAAACCCTGCACTATTTGCTTAATGAAGCTCTGTTATGCTTTATCATTGGTGGTGTAAAAGTTTGTTATGATAAATTCTTCACCGCACTATATTTTTGGAATTGGAAAATCTATGGAAACCATGATTTAGTATTCAAGTACATGTGAAACCTGCACTGACACGATGAAAATGAAATGAATCAATTACTGAAAGTAATAAATACATTCGGATGGATCTTATTTGTCCACTCATATAGCTATAACAAAATGCACAGCTAATTAAATGTAAAAAACTCTTTTTAGGGCCAAATCTGAGCAAATAGGACAACCAATTGTGATTGTGATAAGTCGCAAAACAATTATTTGAAATATTTGATAATCCTATTTATAATGTTCATACCTAGAACTAGCTCATGCCAACAACTTGCAATCCAGTACAAGAGCTGGCATTTGTTAGTGCAGCTAGTACTGATAAACAGTCAACAGGTTAACTAATTATAGAAAGAATGATTAGTTGCAGCCCTAGTTGTTTGTTGTGCTGGAGCGTACCAGGTGCACATGGCGAGGGAGGTTTGGACAGTGCTAGTGCCGCTCCAGCCGGGGAGGGGGGCTTGGCCGCTGGGTCAGAGTGGGAGGGGTCAGGGTTCTCGGGAGAGGGGGCAGAGCTCCGCTGCCGCGGAGATCGTGCACTCCACTCCTCCAGTCCGCTGGAGGCCGCAGCTGTAGCGGAACTACAGGTGGCGCTAGCCTTCCGGGGCTGCAGGGGAAGAATGAGAGAGCATGCGTCATATACTGAACAAATGCTGATACTTTCGCTTTTGAGGACTTTTATACGAAAGCTGAGCATTTATTTGAAATCAGGCGAAGTTCACAGGTGGCCAAAGTGAGACGATGCCAGTTAAAACCGCTCACCACTGACAGCACGTATTGCTACCGTGACAAAACCATTCGATTCTCAGCCAGGGAAGCTTTTCTCTGAAATAAGAGCCTTTATATGAATAGGTATATATTACTGTAAGTGTGTAAAAAAAACAAACAACCTGATACTGAAACAGTCTTTAGCAAATGTTTTGGTAGCACCATAATTGTGGCTATTATTGCCACATCACTGCATTATTAGCATTACAAAGCATTTCACCTTTGAATTATCTGATTACTAAGCATTATGCTGAGCCACCAAAGTAAAACGCTCAAATGGACATGACCATCGCTGCACAGTCTCAGGAGGATTATGGCCGATGTGGAATGTGGTGAGGAATGTGGTGTGCAGAGCAGCTGGAGGCAGATTCTCCACCCCGACCCCTGTCACCTGTCGCGCCTGTTTTTCCTGGTCCCGAAGCCACTGCAGGTAAGACTCGCGGGCCACCTGCTCCTCGATGGCCTCATTAGTGGCCTCCCAGTCTGTGGCCCTCTTCTTATCCTCCAGCATCTGCTGCTCTATCCACGACTCCTCCGACGTCTTAATGGCATTCTTCATCAGAGACTGGTCTGCATACTGTCCACACAGAGAGAAAGAGAGAAAGAAAGAGAGAAAGAGAGAAAGAAAGAAAGAAAGAAAGAAAGAAAGAAAGAGAGAGAAAGCCAGAGGGGGGGGAATGGAGAGGGATTGAAAGACAGAGAGATGAAAGAATGAAAGAAAGAAAAAAAAAGAAGAAGTAAGAGAGAAAGGAGAGGCAAAGAGATGAAGAAAGAGTAGATAGATGGGGAGAGAAAAAGAATGCAAGAAAGAACGAAAGAAGAGAGAGATGGAGAGAAGGACAGGAAAAAAGAGAAAGTTGAAGAGGGATGATAGACAGACAGACAGACAGACAGTGAAAGAAAGAAAGAAAGAAAGAAAGAAAGAGAGAGAGAGAGAGAGAGAGAGAGAGAGAGAGAGAGAGAGAGAGAGAGAGAGAGAGAGAATGAATAAAATGTTGATACCTGTGAGGCACCAGGTAAGAATGTTTCACCTGTACTGGCCTAAAGCACCTGTGACTCATTCAGACTAAGTGCAGAGATGTTTGAAGTACATCTTTTATTAGAGAACAGAAACAGAAGAGTTTGAATAATAACCCCTTCAATTTCCTCCACCACTGTAAGATCACATTCACAGCACCTTCATCCACATCCTAACTGAAAGGCTCTATGAACACTAACAAGAACACACAGGCACAGAAGAAGCGGAACTGAAGTCATTTTTCTCGTCTGGCCTGGTGCTTTCCGGAACACAACGGGGAAACAAACAGGAATGCTTGATCCTGTGCCCTGATTTCAGCACTAGAATGTTCTCTCTCTCTCTCTCTCTCTCTCTCCCCCCCCCACACCCTGTCTGGAGGAGCGTCTCAAGCGCTAGACAGCATGTGTTCGGCTCCTGTGCAGCGCGACCACGTACGCTGTCCACATGCCAACTGTGCTATCCTCCAGCTCAGCGCTGCCAAAGCCGGCTGTTACACAGAAACCAGCTGACCCCGACAGCACCACTCGCACAGCTGGGGTCGAACGCCAACTCCTACTAAAGCCTGAACACGACACAATCCACAGAAATCACAGAGACTCTACAGACAGGCTAAAGGTGTTGCTTTAAGGCCTCAGCACAGGACCAGGATTCCACACAGGTGTATATATAAGAGACCACACTTCATTTATTTAATTTCCAGTCAAAAAGTTATTAATTTTTCAGGCGACAGCTCTGATAATGATCCACTTGCATTAGGAACGAAAAGTCACAGGAAAATATGTGAAACAAAACAGGCATTTCCAAAACTGGAGTTCAAAAAATGATTAAAAGATACAGAGAATCGTCAGAGAACCACTAAAACGGTCCCCATCAGACATGCAAGGCAAGGCAGGTTTATTTATATAGCGCCTTTCATACAGGCCTGTCATTCAAAGTGCTTTACAAACGAGAAAAACAGCACTTAAAGCGTACATCTTTGAAAAAGAGGAGGAAATTAAGCTCCACTTGCTTCAGATCTGAAAAAAATTGCAAACAAAAACAAAGAAGCTGCTGGTGGACAGTGGACTGACCACCCCAGAGTCCAGAACACATCATCACAATGTGCTTGGGATCATGTGGATCACGAGAAGCAGAAAATGCAACCAACTTCTAAGACTGAACTTGGGGTATGGAAAAATATCCTTGCAGACTAAAGACTTTAAAGATAAAGAATAAAGAGTGAACACACTGAATACTGGAAATTCAGATTACATTTAGTTGTGAGACTTTTGTCCAATTTTCTGTTAAATATGTTTTCTGTTAAACATGTTTTCTGACTTTTCTTTACGTTGAATAACTTGATGGCAGTTCTGACTGAAAATTAAATAAAGAAAAAGGTGGTCTCTGACTTTTACATAGTACATTATATATGCATACACAAAAAACATAATTAAATGGTGTTTTTATCCTCTTTAACAAGAGAAAAAAAATCCATCAAAGACACCTTACATAACATTTAAATAAACACCTAAGTTGTACCTTACCTGATAATATCAGGTTAACTGGTGCCAGTACCCAGACCTAAATTGCTGTAATCTGTGGCCAGCAAAATCTTTTAACTTACTGAAATCTATGAGGCAGACACTATGGCTGAGAACAGGCAGTAAATCTACCCTGGCCCTTCTGTACAGTCACTATTGGTAAGGCTTGCTATAGACACTGACCACCACCATCTTATCATTAGGCATCTGGTGCACAAACAAAACGCTGCTCTGCTAATAAGGTTCCCTCTAAAAACCACGGACGTGTGGAATGCTCCCCCACCCACTCGGACAGGCTCTTTGAAGTGACTGTGTGTGCTGTGGAAGTGGGCCGCTGCCGGACACACTTGTCTGTCTCAGCAGGCTTTGATAAACTCATGACTATCACCTACTTCTGACTTTTCTGTTCAGCAAAAACAGGCCCACTCCGGCTCTGACCTGCTTATGTGTGGATGCCAGTGACCCGATTAAATGGATTCACACAACACTTGCTACTTCTCAACACAGTGCTGGACATTTCAATGATTCTGGCAGACGTGATACACGGGCATAATATTCATATTATTTAGATTTAGATTTCTTTTATAGATATTTATGAAATTAGCAGGGAATGTCCAGAAAGTGTTGTACCGCACAATAATATACATTTTATATTTACACATAATATATAATTGTTGGGCGGCACAATATATACATAAAATGTCATTGTACGAAATTATTATATTGCTGTTCATTATGATATATTATGCTACATATTGTGATACAGTTATTATAGTTTTGTATAGTTTGGGATATCGGGAGTATTTCATTGTATATTGGGATATACTGAGATATGTCGTTCAATATATTAAACCCACATCATTGAATCTTTAAACAGACATGCTTAAAGCTTGGTCTGACCAAATTTATTCACATTTGTTGGTCGACCTGAATGCCTTAACTCACTCCACCAATCACTGCTGTCTCTGGTGTTGACATAGCAAAAGAAGATCAAATTGGGTTGCAAACTACCTGTCAAAGCACTCATTACGTTTCAGCTCCTGAGTGAAGTGGTGAAAGTCTGAATTTTCACTTCTCAAAAATGGAAAGAAGCTTGCAATCTCCACAATTTGCCCATTTTTGTCTGTCTGGTGTTGCCGCATTCTATTCTGCTCTTTTGGTGGGCCAGACAGATAAACATTACAGACCGCCTGGGGGTCTCTGAGAACTGTTTGAGAACCACAGCACCTAGATTTTGAAAGAGGTGCAAAATCCTTCAGACTTTAAGTAATTAAACCCAGTTATTTAATCAAAGTATCCATTATACCAACAAACAACTGATTATTTTGACTATTAATCAACTAATCAGTTTGCTTTTAAATTGCCAAACAATAAAACTTGACAAGAAACTGTGTTTAACCTTTCAAAGATTCCAAAATGTTTTACTGTAAAAAGGTAAACCAGTGAGCCCACAACTACCCTAGAAATATAGTAAATATTAAAGGGCCCATATCCCACAGTACTCTTGTATTTAGGTCTGTTTATAACATGATTGATTTTAACATGACCATTTTCCAACCTCTTTTTTGGGCAGAGCTAAACTGCTGTGGCCTATGTGGTAAAGAATGCATATAAATGGGTGTATCTGTCAGACTCTGTATCTTACTGTAAGAGATAAATTAAAAAATGCATTATCTTCAGCAAACTGCCAACAACTCACTACCAATTCACTGAGTGGGACATTTTTAATTAGCAATATTTTAAAATCAAGTTTAAGTAATCGTATCAGCCCTAAAACAAAGCATTACAAACATTTATCTCAAAACTTTCTTTCTTCAACTACATGAACTAATGCAGTGAAGCATCGCTCTCTCTTAAGCAGCATTTTAGCTAGGAGACGTTCTGTACCATATAGATCACGTAACACACAGCAAGCACATAGGAGCAGGTCCTGCTGAAATAGCACTAACCCGCAAGATGTGTGCATGTCTGTCTTGGAGATGTTCAGTCCGAGCAGTTAGCGGAGAGCGTGCATGAATACACATTAGCCATGGTGACACCTCGGTGCTCTAAATCAATCAACCTGACAGGGGTCAGCTAGGTCAGATTAGCCTATATCTCACAATGAGTATCAAGCTACTGGGACAAAGCAGAAGACTGATGCTCTCAATCATGTCGCACTTCCAGAACAAGATAACTACAGTTAGTCATTAATAACCAGCTTTAATTAATCTTGCTTGTACTTTTCATTGAGACAAATCAATGAAAACAGGTTGTATAACCTACTAAGGAGATTACTTTATTGATTGCTTAGATGAGTTAAGTCATAAGAAAGCTTGTATGGGTACATTAGTGACGTGTGGGTCAGCTTTTCCTTCGCCTGCTTGCACTTGCGGTTCCAAAAAACAGATCGTCTGTATAGCCTGGTTTTAAACGACAAAAGGTCCACTCTCAGCCCAAAATCCCCCCTTTTGGTCATGTTTAACCATCCAGCCCAAGGGTAAAAGCATGGCTGCAAGTGTACCCATGCATCACTAGCAACCACCCAGGCATCACAATCTGACCTAAATAACATCGCTGACTGGATTTGCATTTCAAGACCAAACATTCTAATGAAACCTTAGATATATATTATTTTAGGTTTACAAACTGGACTTTGCACTATGTCAGTGGTCACCATCCTGTAGAGTTTTCCAACCACAATCTGCCACAAGTGCTCCAGCTAATTAACACCTTCAGATGTTCTTGACTGGCTGGATCAGATGCATTAGTATTATGTAGGGGAGCATGTTGGATGAAGGTTGAAACTAAACTCTGCAGGAAAGTAGATCTCCAGGAGGGCTGGTGACCACTGTAGTAGGTAATCCTACACATACATGCAGGACAGAGCACTGTAGTTTGGTGTTCTCTTATGGTCCTTACTCAGCCACTGAATAATACTAATAATTTGTGATTTATCTGATGTTAAAGCAGATGTGTTAAACAATAGTTCAGCAAAATATCAACTGTACAGGGATTTTCCTGTTACTGCAAATGCAGTTGATCAGCCAAGATGTTCAGATTCAAATTTTGCAATAGCTAATCTAGCTAACAAGTAATGGAAGATTTTAACCACCAGGTTAGCATGGCATAAACAATATGCCTAGTTGTTTGCTAGAGCTGTTAAAAATGCACAACAGAAAATTTTATGTTGATATTGAAATTAGTAGCACTACTGAGTGACAAGCGGGGGAATCATGCTAAAATGTCTACATAATAACTTAAACGCACAGGCTCAAAACAAAGGTCTGGCTCAATGTTTAGATCTCAAAGTCAACATTTTACTGATGAAGATGACAATACACTCACATCCTCAGAGGATACATCCTTTACCAAGATTTGACTGAGTTCTCTTTGAATAGTCTTTCAACACGCTCGTAATCATTAGATTCAGATTAGATTGGATATTATTAAATGGTCTTCTGCACATGAAGACCACACCAGTGAGGTGTCCAAATCCCCAAAAATTACATAGTGAGGCTTTAATTAAAATCACAAATAGACTTGCTTACAAGGTCTCTAGACTTGCTACAAAAGGAATAAAGGCATACATAAAAATGGACAAAAGGCAAATTTCAGGCCTCAAGATGGCAGCTATTCCTATTCTTAGCTATGCAATTCTGTCTTGTGTCCAAACTTTGGACAACAAACATATCTTGGCTGATGTAGTATATTCGAGTAAGGGCGGGTGACATGGCAAAAAATATGATCTCATTACTTCAAGCCGTTCTTACGATATATATGATATGCATTATGATATTTGGCTTTACACAAGTTTGATAAGTTTTGACCAAAAAAAAAAGAAAAAAGAAAAAAAAAAGTGTCACCACATCAAAAATCAATGCCACAAATTATGAATATGGTCATTTTATTCAATGTTGTACTTACCGTGAGGCACTAAATCCAGCAAAATACATCTAATTATGCTATTTGTAATGACACATGCAGTTAGTCGATAAACAGCCATGCTGCCTAGCCTTAGGTATGAGAAGGACTGTTTAAATTTGATTTCTTGCCAAACTACTCCTTTAAAAAAGGGAAAACTCTGAATGATAGAACACTTTGGCCCTATAGCAATGCAGTGTGACACTCTCGCTCTGCTGGGTTCTGGTATTAAGGGAACACAGAAGAGGCTTCATGCAGAAAACATGCACCTACCCCTGGTTTGAAGGCAGGAAGGCCGAGCCCCACTCCAATGGTGGCCTTGTTGGGGTTCACCACTGAGTTGTAGTGAATGTTACGATGGTAGCTAACTCTGATTGGTTCATCGTTATTTTGATGGATCCCATGGAACGTGTTGATTGGCTCTGAAAGAAGGGATGTGAACATAAAACAGATGAGACAGCAGCTTTTGTTTTTTTCTAATGACTGATTATGTGACTTTTAAAACCTGGTAATGTCCAAAAGGCCAAAGACAGCCCTGTGCACCGTCAAAAAGTGTGTGTGGGGGGGGGGTTACAGCAAGTGGTGTCAAACTCACAAGGGGTCACAGGACAGAGGGTTCAGGCCCAAAAACATTACTGGTTTTTTTTATTGTAGAACATTGATTTTGGTTTGTGCTTGTGTGTGTTTTCTAATAGGTGATTTTTTTATGTAGTAGATTTGTTTTCATTTGCAGGATTGGGCCTAAGTGAATTTCTCACACTCACATTTTCTCTTGTACTCTCTTTTTCAGTTTCTCTCTCTCTCTACTAATGTTATGATCTATAGCTGCATTCAAAACGGCGCAAGAGTTTGAGGAGTGGGTGAAAATGCTCCTGAACGAAACTGCGGATGAAGTTTGACATCAGTCTCAATCACACCATGGATGATGATAATGATGTGTTGGGTAGGTGGAAAGGCCAGAGCAGATCTTTCCATTTGCTTGTTATTCGAGATATGTATTTCTGCAATAGCAGCAGCAGCGAAATGAACTTAAGGACAGCAATCAGAGGAGGGCAGATGTTGTTCTGCTATTCTGCCAGGTATAATCAGAAAATACACAAAGAAATAATAAACACTGTTTATAGCTGACTACACACTATATTGTATTATAGACGTTAAGATACCAGTTCATCCCACCATGACAATTTCTATCGATCAGCACTTTTGGTCGAGTAATCACGCAAAGCGCTGTCTGCGGGTTTGGGTCAATTTGTGTTTTAAATCTAGTAGGACCAGTTGGGACTGGACAGGTTGTGAGTACTGTCTGAGTTGAGGCTTCTTTTTTTTTTTTGTTTCCTGCCCGTGCAGACCTCCAACTCTCAGGCCTGAGGACTGGAGCGCCCAAATCAAATTTAAATAACAGTGGGTTTTAAACAACAACCTTTTTTAAAAAACAGTTAGATCATCAACCCTTTTTGCGTCACCATTTGAGTCATTCACCAACGCTTTTTTCTGTTTTCACATGTTCCACAAGTTTTTTTTCTCTCCAAGTGACAAAGTGTGGCCCAGGGGCCCTCCCTCCCAGTCTCACCTGTGCCGTACTGATACACTTCCACCGGCCGGTTGTACATCTCTGCCATGGCCTGCATCTCAATGTGGTTCCCATGACAGTTGTTTTTCCTTTTCCTGTTGATGTATGTGGTGAAGTCTTCTGTCACATAGTTTGAAAAGTAGTCTGCGTTTTTCATCTGTAGATAAAAGGTGTAAAAGAAACAGGTATATAAAAAGCGGGCTGGTTCTGATGGCGTGCAGTAAAGAAGCGAAACGCTTACCAAGTAGTCCATGCAGTGTTTGCGAACGACTTCGTGCATATCTTGGTCTCCGTAAACTTGGTCAGCTGCGAACAAATAAATAGATGTAGGGTAAATACATGAGAACAGGGTTTAATAGGAAAAAAACACTGATAACCAGGAACATATATGCTCCGTTGGAGACCAGAGACCAATGGCACAAACAGGTCAGAATGCAAAGTTTCATGAGGGTTAATGGCGAAAATGATAAAAAGAAAAACTGACAACGGGAGAAGAAGAAAAGAAGTGAATCCTAAACAAAAAATGAAATAAACGTCAATGCTCAATTGTGCCATACATTTGCTGGCACACGACACAGCATATCAGGTTAATTTCAAATATCTGCTTGAACTACCCAACAAATATTTATAGCAATTTAATGAAGTTAGCATTCAACAATTACTGATCTGAACAGGTTGTGTAGACTTATTCCTTCTGAATACATGCATGGCTGCACTGATCGTTATGCAAGTGACATTTTTGGCGGGCTTTATCTTCGCCGATCTTATTCGTGCGGCAGCGCATGAGTCAAAAAAAGAAAAAGAAAAAAAAAAACGGGTGCAGATGTAAACAAACGGGCGCGAAGCTTCCTCGCCGAGGCCACGCCTCTTCCTCCCCGAAGCGGCCATATGCAAATGACTGAGGGCCCATTCCTGCAAGTCACATGACACTGCCCGCACACATTCTCAGAATCTCTTAGTCAATTTCCTCTTTCGCGGCATCAACCTACTTTTGTTGTGACACTGAGGCTGAGGCTGAGGATGCTGCACCGCCAAAAAAAAAAGCATACAGAAATAGAGTGACAGTTCATTGCATATCAATGTTTGATGTGATGCATCGTTGAATTTTTGAGGGGTTTTTTCCATTTATCTCAAAAGGAAACCTGATTTGTGCTGATTTTTGGGGGCTATAAATAGCATGCATGCATTTTCCAGCAAATTAAACAACTGATTAATATTCAAATACTGAACTGTATGTTGGCAGCACAGAAAGCCTAAACTTATGTCATGCATTTGTATAATAAGAACCTGTGCATATTACATAATATTTAAACCATGCATTCAAAAATTTACCAGTATTACCATGCAATTTCATAATGGCCTGTAATATCCAACTTATCAGCCAACTTTGTCCAAGAGTGTGCAGTGCTGAATATTCAATTGTTTTAAGCTTGATTTGAATAGTGATAGTCAGTTCTGCACTAAATTAAGTTTGACTACTTCAAAACTACTGAATGGCATTTGGCTAAGATGGAAACAAAACAAACGCTTATAGTGTGTCCCGCTCTGGTGCCTACTGTAAGAAAAAAGGAAACAAAGTTTTAAAGCATCCGCAGAAACATGAAGCATCGCAGAAAAATGTACGGTGCTTTAAGTACTGTTTACTTAAACTTCCATGGAAAACACCCCAGCAACCGTCCATTCCACTGAATCACAGAGTCTCTTTTTTTAAGCAAAACTACCTACAGCTTTTGTTCTTTTCTCCCTAAGTGAACGAAGGTTCTATTTTCAGACAAACAAACAAAATTAAACAAATGAAAAACAAAAATAGTGTGCCTTTTGCAATATACCTCACTTCAGGGACACCCGTGTTTGGTTCTCTACAGCTATGAAAGGTTTCCTACAGCTTCAATTCAACAGTTTGTGGTAATCATGAATGAAAACTGCTGCGGTTCCACTGCAAGTGAAGAGTGCCAAGGTCTCTCTTCACCATTTAGGATGCTAGCATTTGTTTTAAACATGGGGTACATCAGTATTAACTTCATCTGCTATCTAGTAGCTGTGACTGATATTACTATTCAAGCCATGGAACACAATCACAGCATAATGGCGCAGATGGTGTCCAGGCAGAGCCCTTATAGCTGAAACAAACAGCGTGGGCCCACTGCTGGAATTTCTGACTACTTTCAGTTCCCAACATGGTCTGGAGCTGGTTCTTTTTCAGCTCCTCTTGCTGTTTCCATTCATAATGCTGAGTTGAGTGTGGATAGTCACACACCTCTTGCTATAACAGAGCGACGGGTGCTATCCGGGTGAGGCAGGGACACCCCCCTCCCCTCCCCTCCCCACAACGTGGGGCATTTGCATGAATCTGACTCATCTGTGATCATAAACACCTGCCTTTGTTCTTTCCCAATTTCGACCTCAATTTGACAGGCAAATAAAAAAATAAAAAAAACCAAGAGAGTCACACAAAGTGAAGGCTGCCTTGCCACGTGGTGCTCGGAGGCTTCGCTGTGCATAAGCTGATGAGGGTAAACAGTAGGGGTGTGATGATACACATATGTTCAGGTTGGATAAGCTATACGATTCCAGATTGGATTTTCAATATTTTATGTTACAAATGTCTTGATTCTATTGCCAGGAATACAGGGAAATTCCATAGATTTTTCAGATTTTCAGCAAAATTCAATTGTTGAGATGTAAACAGTCTGTCATTTAGAGTGGGTCTGATGTGAAATGATATACTGTAGAAAAATGTACTCAAACTGTCCATTGGGCAATACGTTTCCCCTCACAACACCCTGCACAGCCCTCTCCACCATAAATGCTTTTAAAAAGACTTTTTAGGTCTAAATCATATCTCAAAGCTATTGTAAACCAATGCCTGCGACGTCAGGCAACATATCATGTAATGACTTCCTTAACAGGAGTTTCGAGAGGCCTTAAACACTTCAGACGCCTGGTTCCTATCACCACCACTAAGAACTATTCTGAAAGAGAACAGAGCACTTCACATCAAACCACTCTGAGTAATAATTTAGTAACCATTTAGATACATAGAAGTCTTGAAAAAACAGTAGAACTCCCCTTCAAATTTCCTTTTGAACATACAGTTTCATAACAATCACTACATTCTTAATTAGCAATGAAAGTGTTATTCTGTACTGTTTATATAAAGCAAAGTGATCTTTGTAATTCTACAGTTATGGAAAAGCAGCCCACTGGAAAGCACACACTACTACACAGGCACCTCCTTAGTATACACGTGTGTAAAAGGTTGGTTTGACCTGGAGGACTCAAAAATAACACTAACCAACAGTAAGTTTCACTACTTGAGATCATCATTCTGTTTAATTATAGTGTAGGATGCTTTGTTGAAGCATAGCTAAATGTAACATCACAATACTTCAACACATTTTCACCATATTTTGTTTTTTTAGGGATTTGATAAGCTGAAACAGAAAAAAAGTACCTGCAGTGCCAAATTTAAAAACTACAGTACAATGACCTTTTAGACCCTAAATCTGACCTGAACGAGTCTCCATAATGAAATGTGTGATACATATTGTTTATTGTGAAAATGTCCAAGTTTTGTGATATAGTTTAGCCATATTGGCCACCCTTTCCCTGTTTTATAAGAGGGATGATTCGCCCTCAAATTAAGCCCTAAAGATAATTACCAAGAGACTTCATCAGAAAACTGCTTTATCTTTTAATATCATTGATCAGGGTTTGCGTTGTCACCATCAAAACAAAGTGACAGCGCAGTGAAACAGGAAGGCAGTCCAGACAAGCGCCATTTGTTGAGACACAACAGAATGTTTGTGTTTGTGTGTCTTGAGAAATTTTTTGATGGTTGAGTTTCCCCAAACAGGCCACACTACAATCACAAAACACCAAGCTAGCATCACACTGAGCACTTTCTCTGATAGTAAGATCCTCTTACTTAATGCCAGGCTCTTGGAAACTGGGCCGATTACTGTGAATCATGAGCAAAGCTGGTTATGAAGTGAATCATAACGTATCTCTCAACTGGTCTGTTTTTAAATATAGGCAAATGATGGTGACCTTCCTCCAAAGGTCATAACACACATGACCGGCACTCTGAAGCTAACAGATCTTTTATCAGCGAAAACAGCGCATGGCTTAGTCCTCAACCAAGTCTATGGGAACAGAGTGACCGTTCAGGTTTTCGTGTGCTCCGAATAGCAGACGTGAACTAAAAGATAACAGATATTTAAATATGCACAATCAGAACCTGTGCAAGTGAATCAGACTGTACACCAAAGCTAATTAGGTTTCTGGGTACGGACAGTTTAGCTCTATTAGCATGTTTTAAATACAGGCAAAGGCTTACTAAATAAATGCACTGAACAAATACAGTTGTATGCAAAACTCCAGGTCAAATGACATGTTAACACATCCTCATAAAATTATCATGGAATTATATTTTATTTCCAATACGTTAAACTCAGTAAATAAAAAATTGTGTACTACAATACTTTTATTTTTTTCCCCCCCATGTAGAAGCTCTGTTAACTTATTTTCACTCAGAAAATCAACAAAACATGTCATTTAGAGTGCGTTCAAACTCTTGCATAAGACATTTTTTGTGCATTGTTTTTTTCTTCCACACGTGATGGTAGATATTGCTAGTTCACTTATGCGAACTTCATAAGCTATACCTGTGCATCGCTTAGCTTTGAGTAAGAAGATTCTGAAGTATGCACTGAAGCTCACAAACAGTTCTGCAATGTACACCAAAATACTTCAAGCAGTAACTGTCCCCTGCAAAATCTAAATAATAATACAAATGTAGTTTCTTGATAAATTGCTCAACTCCAAAAAAGGGTTGGTGACCTTTTTCTAACGCTGGTCATGATGAATGCTGAGAACGGCACTCAACCCACCACAAAAAGCGGAAGCCAAAAAATTGCTGGTTGAGTCTACGGAGAAACAACATAGAAGCAGCTAGACTTCATGGGAAAGAAGAAGAGGTTGGGTCCGTCATTTAGCAGAAGCAAAACCACAAGCGCGCCTTCACCGATAGAGGCCACAGATAGCTCAGCATTGCTAACCAGCAAGAGTCGTTCTAAGAAAGGGGCGGGGCTGGCTAAGGCCGCATGAAGGCCGGACACACCCGGGACCGCCCTGTCAGGCCTGCGGGCCTCTGATAGGGTTTATCATCCTGAAGCAGGGGCCTCGGTGACGTTGCAAGACAGTAAAAGTCTATTCTTCACAAGAATCCTGAGATGATCCACAGAGGACATGTGACCGCAAAAGGCTCATTCAAGCTTTCGAGCGTCAGGAAATACGTCACACCA